TTGAATTATCAATTAATGCCGAGGTTAACAGAAAGTCGGTCTTGGGAATAGCTAATACAGTTCAAGCATTGAGGGGGATCGCGTGGCTGCAACGCCGCGCGCGTCCTCTGCGTCCATATCCCGTTCCGGCCATGGGACACACCCAGTAGTCCCGCCATTCGACCCAACGACGCCGTCGAGAGCGTCCTTGCCAGCCCATCATTAATTCCACTCCGTTAATTTCACTTTGTAGATTCATTTGCTTAGGTTATAATGATAGTATATGTAGCCCTTAGCCCGTGAATCGCTGACACAGTGTGATCGTCGTCTTTCGTGTAATTATGTTATCCGTGTTAACATAAGTTAAATACATTCATTGTTCACCTCACAAACGGTTCATAGTTCTTGCGCACTCCCGCAAACGCCCCTCACGTCTTCGAGCTGTGAGCCGTTACATTGGTGTGTGTACTATTGTTAATGTGTTTTATTAGGTAACAAACCCACTGAACCACCTTATTCACAGTTGTTGGACAGAAGTTGTATATTACCTTGCGTTGTTGTGTAAGTAACATGTGTATACTAATAAAGGTTTAATTACCCAAGTTTCTCACAAACGGTTCATAGTTCTTGCGCACTCCCGCGAACGCCCCTCACGTCCTCGAGCTGTGAGCCGTTACATTGGTGCATTGGCCGGGAATCGAACCCGGGTCGCCCGCGTGGCAGGCGAGCATTCTACCACTGAACCACCAATACCAAGCTATTGCAAAGTAGTAAAAAAGCGGATTACCGAGATCTTTCCCAAAGCCTGACTGCTTAAATCCTCCAAATGGAGCTGCTACATCTGTCTTCTGATAGGTGTTGATGAATACCGTACCAGCTTGTAGCCTATCCGAAACACGAAGTACTTTGGATACATCCTGAACTTGTCTTATGATCCATCAACTCTTATGTAGTAAAGAATAGAAGAAGAAAACTTTCTACCACAAATATTTGTAAAGTTACTACGCAAAAATAAACAACTCTGAACGGAACCTTTGAAAAAACTCCAGCAGCAAGCCCAAATTCGGTTCTGTTCGCTCTTCGGATCAAACCGTCAATGTCACTTAAAAATAAGCATTGAAAATCTCTTGCGAAAGAGATATTTGGAAGGTCTCTCACTTCGCAGTTTTCCACAACTTAACCTGCTATCGAAGATTTAGGATAAAGAACCTTTATACTTGATAAATTGCAAAGTTGATGGTGAGGAAGGTACTGCGAGGTCAGTACTGAACAAGTGCAAATAGATGGGTCCCTCAACGCTTCCTTGCTTTTTGTCGAATATTTAGCATAAAAGTTGTTGCTAGTGAAGATTACACTACATTTGCGATGCGAGCGCGCCGAATAATGTGAGACACAAATGACTCACACCGCGCTTAAAACGATAACGGATGATGAAACGTAGGTTTTCGTAGTTTTCTAGTTCAGTTATGAACAGTGAAAGTGCTTAACCCATTAGAATAATAATAAATCGCAGAGCTTCGTCATTTTCATTTTGCAAGATTCTTAAATAAAGCCAGAAAAAGTATAACTCACTCGTCATCGAATCCACTAACGCACATAATGGGACCGAATGATTCTTCAATTGCAGCGAAATTATCATCATCAACTTCGCTGAGAATGGTGGGCGGGAAGAAAAGTCCGGATCGTGGAAGACGTTCACCACCAAACGCAAGCTGAATCCAAGCGAACATATGTTCTTCCTTTTGAGAATTAAGAACAGCAAAAGAAAAAAAATTCACTATTATTCCCGTATTCTTTATGAATGTCCTTGAATAGTGGTCGAATAGGTTGTCTCAGCAATCTTGGGACATCTATGTTAAGGGGTTCCCACGTCTTCGTCACAAGCAACCTTTTGGATCGGAGGGAACTTTTCCCAGATATGTTTGTCATCTCTTCCCCACCTCCATGGGAAGTGTTAGACGTGGTTGACAGAAATCTTTTTAAAACAAGCCCTTCTTTGCGTCTTATTCCAAGGCAAATACACATATCTTTGGCAGACCCGTTTATTGATAAGCTTGAGAATAGATGTGGTCACTGAGAATCAATATGGAGACTACATAGCGCCTTATTTTCGTCTTCAAATTATTCAACTTTTAATGCTATTCATTTGAGTACTTTATGCTCGCCATCACGACGTAGCATAACAGGAACACCCATTCTGTTCCCATCACGATTCCTACTTGGCTGGCAGCTTGTTGCTTGAGCAAGGTAATGTCGTCATCACCTGCTATTTAGTGACTATGTTGTTGTCAGAAAGACAGCAATCCTTAATGACTTATGTTTACATCGAACAATCAGTAATAATCCGTCCCTAGCCATAGCAACGACATAAACCTTCACTGCACATCCTCCTCATTTTATTCTACTCCTCTTATTTTATTCTACGTTTTTTATCCATTTTCTACTATCATTGCCAAGGATAAAAGGATAACGCAAAAGCGGTAAGGACGTTTAACGCCCTTTGACATATAATCCCCACAAGCCGACCTTTGCTCCACCGGCAACCGCTTTCTTCACATACTGTATCAGTTTCTCAAGATGAGCTTTGTGATTTTGAGGTCCATGTGCTGTAGATCGATCAAGCGGATCACCGATGACAATCTGGAGACGTAACAGTTAATATCGAAGACCAGTAATGAACGACAGGAAAATACGTTTAAACAAGACTGGATCATTTGTGAAGATTTTTCGTGAAAATACAAAGGTTTATAGAGTGTTGAAAATCTCATAAAAGAACAAATACGTTGCAGTTTCAAAACGATCTGCAAAATAGGACGAATACCTTTTTCGCGTCTTCTATTAAGCTCTTCAAAAAGCTATCATAGATACTGTTTGCAACGAAAATTCGTCCTGCAGCAATACAATTCTCTCCTTTGTTGAAGAACACCTGTATAGATATCAAAGGTCGTTTCAAAAAAGATTAACATCGGATCAACTACCATCAGACAAACGATCAAATTACGGTACTTTTTAAGCTTTACAACGAACCGCATTGCATGTCTGCTTTACGGCCCTGTCAAGATCAGCATCGGCAAATATGATGAGCGGTGATTTGCCTCCGAGTTCCAATGAGACTTTTTTGATATTCGACCGTGCACAGCTAAACAGAAAGAGTTTTTTTAGATGGCTCATAATCTTGATAACAACCGACTTCATAAAAAACTAGTTAAATTAGCTTGTTGGTTATAAAGGATAAAGGATGGAAGCCCCAGCGTTGCCCAACGTTTTACGGATGCTTCAAAGGCTCGATTCTAGTGCATGATTGTTGAGGTGATTGAATGCATATTTGACTTTCCAGTGCCTAGCGATGTATCGAGTCAGTGTTTTTTTCCTTTTGCCCTCTTAGAGAAGTCCGATATTTGTCTGCTGGCTCTGGAAAGATAGGGAGCTTGGTTGGCCCAGTACAAGAGGTTAAACCAACAACTATGTATGCGAGGGAGCTTGGTTGGCCCAGTACAAGCGGTTAAACCAACAACTATGTATGCGTTGTAGAACACATCCAAGGCCGACAGCATATGCTCCAGTATTCGGCCGGCCATAATTGAAAAACAGTTTTAGTGTTTGTTTTTTAATACATGTTGAAAATATAGTTTATGGCAGTAATCAACATCATGTTCCATCACATTCTTATTCTGTTTACAAATCCACTTACATAAAGAATATGTTGATTTCGTTTGTAGAAGTGACTTGTAGATTTATTCCTTAAATAGGGTAACGCTTTCTTAGGGCGCGTGTGGCGCAGTGGTGGGTAGTGCCCTGCAGCACACACGTGGAATCCATCCCCACACCCATGGCCCACGAAGCCTTCCATTCCTCCGGAGTCGGCAAATTGGTACCAAACTTGTCTGGGAGAATAGCAACAGTGGCTCTATGCATCGGTAGGCCACCGCGAGTCATTCCAAAGGCCAGATATGCACTCAATCGCCTCCAACGATGCTTAATAGGTCTAATGCTCTAGGTCTAGGTCTCAAGTCTAATGCTTGGCGCATCCTTCAGCGATTGATCAACTCCAAGACCCTTATACTTTATCCTTTATAACACTTTATTATTACAAACAGTGCTGCCGCCGATTAACTAAGCCGTACCATACTAAAAAGTTCTAATAGAATATATCTGAGACCATAAATTGGTAAGGGCTCTGCGTTATCCCACGACTAATTATTAAATAGAACTAATATAAAAACAACTGAAAACACTTTTTACCTGGCCATCACCTGTGCTCCAACCTCCGTTGAACCAGTGAATCCAATTTTTCGAACATGTGGATGGTCTGCGAGAGCTTGTCCGACTTCTCCTAAATTAGGTTTTGTAGAACTTACTTATAATACGACGGAATGACACGCTCTGAAAGATTGACATTATTTGCAACATTTTAACGTTTTAAAGAATTTTTGCTTAAAACATATATGCGACAACTTGTTTTTGCCGGTGGGAGAGTAGTGCGCTTGATTTTTCATCGCGCTTGGTGCGCATTCAAATCAATGCATACACCTATGCTTCATTACCACCCTTCATTAATACAATTTTCACCATTCCTAATTAATAAAGCTTATCTATATATTGCATGTATCTCAGAACTTCATTAATTTTATTTGTTGTCGCGTGTGCGTCAGCCAATAAGGTATTCGGATTAGCGTGATTGGGCCGTATGTGAAAACACCATCTTCGTCACGAATGACGAATGCCGATTGGGTTGATTCACCTTAAAATTATGTAATACCACTGTGAGAGTGCACCCAGGACTTTTTTGAATCGGTGGAAGCTTATCCCAGAGAACTCGGTGCCATTTTACCGATCGTGCAGGGATTGGGGGTTTGCCGGTGCTATGTGGAAACGAAATATGTGTGTAAATGACGCGACAGTATTAATAACGGCACTCCCCGTGAACCATTTATGTGCTGAGAAAAGCAATTCAAATTTTGTGGAAAAATCATAAACCTATGATTTCGGCTTTTGAAATCATACCTGTGGCGGTAATTCGAGTGTCTAAACACTATTTTTCAAAACGATGCGCTTTAAAGCATGAGATCACCTAGCTGGATCACTTCCACATTAACTGAGCTCAATGTGTTAACTTTACCTCCAGATCCTGTAACAATGTTAATGACTCCGTTAGGTATTCCGGCCAAAATAGACAGCTCAGCGAACTTCAGCGCAGTGAGTGGGGTCACCTAAAATTCACTTCTTGAAAGTTTATAAGATGTAAAGCAAAGAGATTATATTTAAGAGCTTATAGGTAGCGATGGCAAAACGACTGAAGCAAATCTCTTCTTCTTAATTTCAAAACCCTGAAGACTAAAAAAATAGATTTAAGCCCGTGATCACCTGCGCAGGCTTGTGGATTACCGTATTTCCAGCGCTCAAACATGCTGCCATCTTCCATGAAAGCATCATAAGCGGATAATTCCACGGAGTGATTATTCCGACCACTCCGATCGGTTCTCTTTTCGTTAGAGTTAAATTGAAATTCGGACGAGCATTTGAAATGGGGATAGTATCACCCTAAAAATGTAACCACAAATGGTTTCATTGGAAACCACAATTGTCAAGGTTTGTAGAAAGGCCTGGTTTTTATTACAGCAAAGAAGATCACAAAGTTCAAAATACGAGAGAGAAGAATATAAGTAGCAACTTAAGAAGAGTTAGATACACTCTCCTCTTGGATCAAAACTTTGGTTGAAAGCTGCTGAAAACCTTTAACTAACCTGCATGGGCACTAGGCACCTATATTAACTCACACACTAACTCAATCCACATGAAAACATAACTTGAAGGTAAAAGACTTCAGATCAGTAGAAAAAGAGATAGAGATTTATGAGAATTAAGATTTAATGTAATTTCTGGGCTTATCGAACTTTTCGAAATAGAAACGTGTGTAGCGCAGGGGTTAGTGGCCCCCTGCAGTACACATGGGTAGGGTAGGAGCCAGTGCCTCAGAAATTGCGAGCCACTGTATAGACTAGGTATGCATTCAATCGCCTTTAACAATGCTTAACAAATTCAAATATACGGCGGGTTCTTCAGGAATTGATTAACGCCTAGAGCTTTATCCTTTTTTTTTATTATGAAACTTTTCGGACTTCTTAAAACTGTGAGTGAATCGCCTGTGAGGAGCTCATTCGTTGGGTGTTCCCAAACGATATTCTGCAAATTAAATCTAGAGATCCGAACGCTTCTTGTATCCGACGAGCTGATTAACGTCATGAACTTCACTAGTTATTTTTTAAAAAGGCCCAATTCACCTGGATTTTGTCGCACCACCCTGCAAAATATCGCCAAACGTCGATTGACATTCCGATGTGCGTCTTCAATGCCAAAGTGTACACTGCTCCAGAATCCAGAGATTCAAGGGTGGCTAACTCTTCCTTAATTTACCGATAAAAAATGAAACAAAACGAAATTAAGTTCAACAGCATTATATTGAACATGTTCGAAAGAGGAAATGGGAATGATTGTCATGTAAAGAAAGAAACTAAACTCGTCAAGAAATTTTAAGACTTCCTTCCTTTAAAAGCTCCCAAAAACCGGAAAATACAACTTTTTAGCTCACGCATTAAAAGATATGAAGTATATTGCAAAATACTTTCTAGGCAGAAGACCTTGTGTTGCTCCATAAGGTCAGCCAACTTGTAGAGTCTTTTCCCACGCTCACGAGCAGACATCTTTCTCCATTCGCCAGTTTCAAAGGCCTGGAAATCAAAATTACAATGGAGACTGGTACTACGAAGAAATATGCAAGGAATTTTACACCTTAAAACAGAAAGTAAATTAGTAATGGATTAGTGACCCCAATTTTGTTTATTTTTTTAATTTATCACATGACCCGTCACCACGTGTATCACAATGCGCGAATCCTAGCTGTTCCTGCACTCGATTCGTTTCGTTGCAACCACCACCAACGAACACCTTCCAACTTTTATGGCTGACTTCAGCTGTTTGCGAATTCGATGTTCTTCTTCAATAAGTAGACGCGAGATTGTTATTATAGAATTTATTAGGATACAATAGCTGACGTTTCGGTGGTTTCGGCTTCTTCAGAGCCTTTTAGTTGTAGTTAACATTGCCCATGTATTACTCTGCGCGGTTGCTATCCATCAACTAACCTAAATACTTACAACAAACAAACGGCTCTGAAGAAGGCGAAACCACCTTAACGTCAGCTATTGTACCCTAATAAATTCTATAATAACAACCTCGTGTCTGCTTACTGAAGAAAAACAACGAATTATCAATCAATGCCGAGGTTAAAAGGAAGCCGGTCATAAGAACTGTTTGGGAACTTTTCCTTAACCTTCGTCACGAATGTCGGTGAACAATGGGATAGCTATGCTAAAGAGTTCTCCATTAGCTTGCAGACAATAACTTTCCCCGGACAAGTCTGGTACCAATTCCCGATCCTGGAGGAATGAGACGACTATGGGTCTGGCGAGAGGTCGAACTAAAGCATAGATAAGTTGGGTCGTCTGCGTAGTGAGCATCATGATATCCACTGCGATACCCTCTCCCCAGTAACATTAATTGTCTAAAAAGAATAAAAGAGTGGTTATTGATGCCATTCAATAACACGCATATGACGACTAGTTCGAACACTACCATAGAGCAACCCATTCTTCCATCCCTTCAGAGGCTGGAATTCGTACCGGAATTGCCCGGAAAGAAATCATTCGAACATACACAAACTTTCAACTGCTTGTCATGAAGAAATCAGAACAAAAAAGCAACTCCTTCTGGATTTTCAGGAGAATCCACTTGACCAATATTCAGTGGCATTCATAACGCTCTCTCTGAATGCATATCTGGCCTTTACAATGATTCGCGGTGGCCTACTGATAAACCGAACCAGTGCTGCTATCCTCCTAAATAAGTCTGGTACCAATTTACCGAATCCGGGAGGGATGGAAGGCTTGGTGGGTCATGGGCGTGGGGACCGATTGCACGTGTGTTTGCAAGGCGACTCCGACTCCACTGCGCCACACGTGCCCTAGATATTCATTAAAAAAACCAAAATCCTCAAGAAGCGTTCGAACGAAGCTTCCAGATCTGGAAATTTTTATGGATGACCAACAGAAGATAACGGATCAAATGAAGGAAGTCCTTGGATCCGTAGGTGGCATCAAAGTGCGTAGTAAAGAATCCAAAGAAAAAATGATTCGAACACAACACACTGCTTTCGCTGCTTCCACTGCTTTGTTCACATCGTTGACATCAGCTTTCGGAACCTGACAGATAATGGACTCATCATTGGGATTGATGGTATCCTCCCATCTAAAAACTTGTCTTTAAAAAGATAGAATAACTTCGCTAGAATTAAAAACGACACCTTCCGCTAGCAGATGGTTGGAACTTTCCGTCAATAAACATCTCATGCGGGAATTTCAATTCCATTCCGTTCACATTCATCACTATCTAAATGAATTACATAAGAATACAAAAAACAGTTTAAAATATAAAAAGTAGTTCACTACTTCATTCAGTAGTATTGCCACTTTCGGACGAGTTTTCACATCTATGGCCAAAACATTAGGGAGTTAAAGTCTAATGACGCTCCACGACTTTTTTCTCCAGTTTTTTTCTCAAAAATTCGTTCATGAGGATTCATCTACAAAATGTATAGAAGAAATCGAAGCATTGATCACACTGGGTGAGAATTCAATGTTTTCTGTTCGATTTCAAATGCTCGGTACAGTGCAGTTGAGTCAGTCGCAGAGGGTGGTTAAGTTTTTTCTCTGCCACACGTGAATAAAATAGAAAAAGAAAATACAACTTCAGCATCAATGAACAAGCACTGAAACACTAGACAATTTCTAGATACGTCAAGGATGTGTCCTCCCATGAATTCATGCCATCTTCAACTAAGAATATGACTGCTATAAAAACCCTTTATAGCCTAAGATAAAGTGACACAGAGTAGAATGCGGTGCGGGTCGATAGTTCGGCAAAGCCAGAATACTATACTTTTGGTCATCATCGGGCAACTTTCTCAAAAATATTGTGTAAATAAAAAGGTATGAGATATCGTCTACATCGTTTTCAACCGACTTAATCACTCCATTGAAAAGCAATGTCTGGAAGGCCTAATGTCTGTGACAAATCGAGCACGTCAAGTCTACTCTTCTATTATCTGAATTTTCTCAGTAGACGCAAAGAATCCACGACCATTACCTTCTAAACAGAACAAAACCCACCGCATCATAAACGATTGTGATATTATCGCCTCCTCGCAGTTTTTTAATAACCATTTGAGCATTTTCACAAAACGTCGGCGCCATATAGACCTAAGTCATTTAGTCATTTTTAATGCGCTCATTTTTAGTATAAAAAATTAATAAGACACATGAAGCGAAGTGATTATAGATGGCATTTTATACACTCTTAGTCGCCTGTTCGACACTGAGCCGGGTTAAAAAAGCAGACGACTCCCTCCGTGAAAGGAAAAATAACACCAAAGTCTTCCCTCGGAAAAAGCTACCTCACATCTGCAAAGCATAGTGACTGTTTGTAGTGAGAACCTGGAAACAGCCTTCCCACCATTTCACAGAAGCCAACTTAATTCCCAGACAAGAGTGCAAGACAACGAGTGAAGTGCATGAGTCGAATCTGTACAATATGAGAAGTTAAGTCATATAAATGAGCAAAATACTTGCATCCGTATTTTCGAGCTTAGTCTTGGCGCTAAATCTAATTTCCTCAACAAGGCGAGTGACATCGGCGGATGTGGCACCAGACTCAAAGAAATCCGTCTCATCAGACACCGGCTGCTTCAGAATCGCCTCCCAAATTTTCTATAAATTTAACAACATAAAGTCTAAGATCCCTTAGCTTAAAAAATTGTACTACTTGTTAAATTTCAATTTTTACCCATTTCAAATGTAATCAGTCACAAGTGTAGAATCGCGAATTTTTGAAATCATTGTGTAATCTTTCCTACTGAATAAAATGCGATTGAACCTGGCAATGCATTAAATATATTTAAAGTCGATTACTGTAAGATAATGTAAGCGTAGAAATCTTCCAAAAACTATATTTTCGAAAAAATGCAACTTCACAAGACTTTAGCAGATTTTAAGTTTGTTATTATTAACCTTCCAACGGTTTACAGCTTTATCGTGACTGGGAGGTTCCTAGGTGTCAGGCTGCGATGTACAGCTGTGGGATTCATCTCCAGATGGGGCATCCACGCTGAGAAGGAGTCTGAATTTTCCATTAGGAAGCCTAGTTAAGAGCAAACCTATAAGAGTATCGACTACAGTCTTGATATCAAACTAGTCGCCGGTGGCAAATCTCCCTCAGATCCACAAAAGCTGCGACTGCCTCTGGTGGTCGCGACCTGGGGCAAACTTTGGATAGGCTGACGTTTGGACTGCAGGGATACACAGGATACACAATAGCTAGAGCAGCAAAACTCCGCAAATGCAGATTATATTGGGGCCCGCAAAACTAGTGAGGGCGGGCCGTTTAATTAACCAAGGAAGTAGTAGTTTTACCCGACTATAACACAGCGGAATTGCCAGAGTGTTCGACAACGGCAACAAACTAATTTTGGAAAATTTCGATGTATTCGTCGTTCTGACAAATCAATATGTAATAACTCTATTGTACGGTTTGCTCTGAGTTCTGAATCCAGTCTATGCTGCTCTCCATCTTCCGCACAATTCCTCATATCTCAATTAGTTCTCATTATTTGTTCTCATGGACTGGATGGGAATAGGAAATGGTCAATGGAAAATTGTATTTTCGTAGTGCAGTTCTGATAACAATCAAGTAAAGTTCTTATACAGGAAGGAACCACTACAAAAAAGCTCTCGGCGTTGATCAGCCTCTGAGGGATGCGCCATACATTCCACTTCATTAAGTATCGTTGGAGGTGATTGAATGCATATCTGGTCTTTACAGTGACTCGCAGTGGCCTACTGATGTATCGAGCTAGTGCTGCTATCCTCCCAGACAATTCTGGTACCGATTTGCCGAACTCGGAGATAGAAGGCTCGGCGGGCCATGGGAGCGGGGATCAATTCCACGCGTGTCGCAGTGGTGCCTCCAGCTGCTGCGCCACACGCGCTGCATCAACTGAATAGCGAATTATTAACGCTCGCATACGTCTTGAAGGCATTTCTTTAAAGTGTATCACTTTTGAATCTCTTCTAATATTTTCTTCTGCGAGATCCTCTGCTTTTAATATTCGTATAAAGTGTACCATGTGGGTAGCCGTTCTTTGGAAAATAGCTAACTCCCGGTTTTGTAAGGTGTACAGTGAGAAGTAAACACTAAATTTGCTAGTTGATATTTGTTGAGATTCGCTTCTATTGGAGTCATATGAAACATAAGTTTTCATCGCCACAAAGTGGCTGTTCCAGTGCCTTTTTGGTGTCTACCTAATTTCTCTTTCAGCGTCAAAGTAGACGTTCTAAAACGTTCTCGGGTCGTCATTCCATACATTTGCCTGACTTTATCGATTACAAACGATTGCGACACCCAACCAGGTTGCTGCCAGAAGAGCGGTGTATCCTGACATTGGTTTATTAGACTAACTTTCCGGTTGGAAACGTTGAACACTTTCTGGACTTGTGTTACCTATCTTAGGTAATCGATAAAGCACCACTCTGCAGCAAAACTCTCCGGCCTGTTTAAACGACCCGTCGTCATCACGCCTACTGTCTGGATGCTAGCACTTCTTGCATTCGATTCCTTTCCCTCGCATACATAGCCCACAAAAGTCTTCGAATATCTCGTGTGTTGTGGCGGCTGCTGCTTGAAGATTTCGTTTTCTTTACGAACTTCCCAGAGTGCTGCCAAGTCGACTTTCCTTGCAGTCTTAGAGATATCCAAGAAAAGATGTTCCCAAGTGGACGGGAGAGCGTTGGAAAAGAGTCGAACCAAAACTTTCCTTCTTAATGGACTGTATCACTAACCACTGCTCTATACTTCCTAAATTTTCGATGAACCTAAGATATCCTAATAACACACTTCTAGCCGATATTTATTAGAGAAGGCTGATGACTGCAATCAGATATCGCGGTCAAAAGAAATATTCGCTTTTCTTTTCCAGAATCAATTTTTCACCCATCCGCTGAAGAGAATTCTGGAACAACAAAGTACCTTTCTCACCATACCTAGAATATAATCATGATACCTCATGTTTTCTCCACAACACAACATTCGTCATCGTATCAGTAACGATTTCAAAAAAGATTTTATGTTATTATTACCAGAAATGGATAGCACAGTGGTGGTGGTGTCCGTCATCATGAGCATGGTGCTATTCCGATTCGGCTCCGGCCCAACCAAACCTCTCATCCCTCCGGGGTCAGGAAATTGGTACCAGAGTTGTCTGGGAAAAAAACCACTTTCTGCAATCCAATTCCAAAAATCCAGTCGGAAACGCTCCAGCCCTGCTATCTCAGGACTCCAGGGAGAATTGCTCAACCTGCATCGTACGACATTCAATATTAAAGAAAAATCTTCAAGCAACAACCGAAGCCACACATAAAAACTTGGAAGACCTTCGTGGACGACGTATGCGAGGAAACGAATTGGATTTGAGAAGTCCTGAGATCCGCATAGTAGACGTGAAGACGGATTAAATGAAATAAATAAAATAATAGATAGAATAAAATTACCAGAAAATCATTGCTTAGCTGAGAATCATCATCGTACAAAAAACTCTTTGCAATCTTAAATACAATACTTTTCGAGAGGCCTGGTTGTAATAATCACCTTGACAATCTCCACAACTTTGATCTCCTCCTCAGTATAAACGAGTTTCTCTCGTTTCTCTTCAGCAAGGCCGAATTTATTCGCTGGCATAGTCTTCGATCCAACTTTGATGGTATCCACATTTACCTGAAAACTACTTTGCCATAGGTAAGCTTATCTTACAAGAATTAATCCTATAACTATGAAAGGAAGTTTGGATTACCCAATGACCATCGCTGCCTGGTAGAAGCAGTCCGGCATCATGAACGTATAGTTTTTTTTGGGGAATCTCAGCGACCTCGATTTCACGGGCTCCTGGAGGCGGAACGGCACCGCGCCAACGAGTGCTACCAAACACTGACACTTTTTGTCCATTCAAAATAGCCCAAGCACCTGGTACCTAAAAATCGAGCCTTGAGTAGAAGGCATCATGAGCTTCAGTCGAAAATAGACAACGAAAGTTCATACCGCCATAACCTTTGAAAAAGGAGATCACCTGTATTACCTGTCGGCCTGTTGATCCATTTCTCGGTGTCACGTGCAATGGTAGTCCAGTGGAATCACCTTGCTCTAGACACCCGTCGAGCATCATATTTTTTTTCTCGAATTTTCACGAAGAACTCTGATTATCAGGGCAGTTTCTTAGTTCCTGCAGTACGTAGACACCTCAAGGAATCCACACACCAACGGCTCCTGTCCATCGGTTATCGTCCAGAAGGATTACGCGACCGGTAAGCCTTATCTTCAACAGATTGGCATATACAGTACGACAACTTTGATTTATGATCGTTGAGGTAGATCGAAGCTTTGAATTCCCTCTCTCACTTGTGTGATACGGGAAACTCCTAGCATTGTTCCTTCGACTGCACGCTCAATAACGCTGAGCGATCTTTCGTCCTGCTTACGTAGCGACCAGGTTTCTGACACATACGTTAAGGCAGGAAGTACCGTTGAATCGAAAAGGTGGGTACGGAATCGGGTGTTCCTTGTTCTCTTTACTACATCCTCGATGCTCTTGAAAGCTCCCCAAGTCGCTCGTTTCCTTCTGTTCAACTCTGGAGCTAAGTCGTTCATCATACTAATTTTTCGACTTAGGTAGACGTAGCTGGAGCTTTCGGAACTATTCAGACCGTGGAGCGTTCATCGGGCATAAGAAACTAATCCGTTCCACATGAACATAGTTTCTGTTTTCTATTCGAAAACCAGCCTTTCCACATGCTTTATTAAAGTCGGCAAGCATTTATTCCACTTGGCTAATCTTTGGTGTTATGAGAACGATGTCATTAGCAAAACGAAGATGATGTAACTGCCGACTATCGATTTCCACTCCCATGTTGCCCCTTTCCTTTTTGGCGCCACATTATAAAGGACGTCAGCAATTAGTTTTGGCGAAATGGTGACGTATTGCCTAGCCCCTCTTCTAATATCGATGTCAACGTCGTCATAGAGTGATTAAAAGGGCGCTTGTGGCGCAGTGGTCGGAGGTGTCCTGCAATACACTTGGGATCGACCCACGCACCCGTGACTCACCAAGTCTTCTAACCCTCTGGGGTCGGCAAATTGGTATCAAACTTGTCTGGGAGGATAGCAGCATTGACTCGATACATCGGTAGGCCACAGCGAGTCATTGTAAAGGCCAGATATGCATTCAGTCTCCTGCAAATGATGTTTGATGAAGTCGAATGCATGGCGCATCTCTAGGGAATTGGTCAGCGCCTCATCTCTCAGGAATTGATCAGCTTTATCCTTTTTTCATAGGCTTAGCGTATTTTTGTTGCTAATTTTTTATATAGCTCACAGAGATCTTCGTGTACTAGTAGGGCAGGGACCACCTGGATGTCCAGGGCTTCTATGAGTGCTTCTATTTCAACTGAGGCAAAAACTTTCCTTAAATCGGTGAAAATAGGACAGAGCAGTTTCTTGTGTTTTTCGAGTCCGCGATTTCCAATGTAGTGTTCTTCAGACGTTCTTCTGGGCACAGTCCTAGCGGCAAAGCCCCCTTGCTAGCATTAAAGAATGCACAGTCTTCTCTGTATAACTCCTAGTCCAGAGAGAACGCTTTCACTTTGTCTTCATCATAGCTTGATATAGGTGCGCAGACAACGACGATTGCCAAAGATTGATTCACATCTCGTCAACCGTACACGTCCGATTCGGATCGTTAGTTGTTCAAATGAATCGGTGCTTCTTTTTAGACTAGTATTGAAAAGAACACAGACGCCGTACTCCTGCATGATCAAGTTCGCTATCGAGAATTTGGGTGGAAGTGGGCGTGCATTATAGGTACAGAGAGTTGCCTCAGCCCTTCGAGGATTAGGCGGCCTAGAATGGCCCTGAGACTTTAGCATCTTCTTCATACTCGCTCTACCCAACGCTGCCGCATCGGAGGAGCTCTCGGGGTCAGGAAATGAGACCTTTTATCTTACTGCCTTCAGCTTTTTTATAACCACGTATAGCTTGCTGATCTTTAAACGTGGAAACTAGGTATACTCACGAGTAGCTTACCAGTATTTCCCAGTGTATACGAGGAGATGATTTGTTGGAGGTGACTCGTAAGCGCGTCCAGTACACCTCCTTGTCACTTTGTTGCAGGCTTTTGGCTCAATTAGCTCTTAGGACACAATCCGCGTAAGCGAGAACACATCCACTCACGCACGTATGAATACACCCTCGTAAATACACAATGTGCCAAATCGACGCAGTAGAAACAGGGAGTGCATCGCAAAGGCCACTTTTGATCCTCTATTAAGTCCTCATCTGCTACTCTGCTACGCGCCATGTTGCCTTACGGATAACCCGCATGAGATTTTTCTATGAGAAAGATCCTTGGTTTCACTGAAAAATGGGTCTATCACTGACATTTATTTTTAAACGAATTGAACTTTCGACTAAACCCTGTTTAGTGACCGACTTTCTATTAACCTCGGCATTGATCAAGTAATTCTTCGTATTTTTGTTCAGCAAACAAGACAAAGAGCAAGACAACAAGAGCCCAATAATGAAGTTCATGCTAATTTTCGGATGTTTGCGAATGAAGCTCTCAAAGTCCTTAATCACTATCGTGCGAAAAGATACAGCTGAAACCTCACTCCAGTGCAAAAACGTAGTATGCGAGAGGTACGAGAGCTGATAAGGTTGAAAACCATAAGACTATCCGTTAGTGATAAGGGTGGAGAGTTTGTCGTAATTCCTCATCAGTTAGATGTGGAAATAACGAAAAGCATCTTGAAGATGCTTCGCTTTATCGCCCATCATCTGAGGAGGAATTCATAAGTAAATACCGAAAATTGAACCACGAATGGGCCAAAATGGCAAGGGCTGCTGGTTTAAAACCATCAGTTATCTCTCAACTTAAAGTTGACTTACCAACATGCCCCGTCTCGTACTTACTTATAAAAATTCATAAGTTAGTATCCAGCGATGATCTTGCGTCTAACGATCCATCACTATTTAAGGTTAGACCTATCATTAGCGGCGTAGACGGGCCAACGGACAGGATAACATGGTTTTTAACCCTGATATATAACCAATCGTTGAAACACATTCCAGCCCATCTTACGAATACCCAGATATTTCTGGATCGTCTACGTACTGCGCAGCCCAACAGCGCGTGCGTGATGGAGTCCTTCGACGTTACCGCCCTTTATACAAACGTGTCGAATGACTCCGCAATGCAAGCCTTACACAACACGAAGGAGAAATAAACATGTATGGCTTCTCGATTCAGCAGTTGATGACACTCTTAAAGNGTTGAAACACATTCCAGCCCATCTTACGAATACCCAGATATTTCTGGATCGTCTACGTACTGCGCAGCCCAACAGCGCGTGCGTGATGGAGTCCTTCGACGTTACCGCCCTTTATACAAACGTGTCGAATGACTCCACAATGCAAGCCATATTCGAACTCCTTACACAACACGAAGGAGAAATAAACATGTATGGCTTCTCGATTCAGCAGTTGATGACACTCTTAAAGGAGTGCCTGAACTGCTCAATCTTCAGATGGTCCGGTAGGTATGACGCACAAATGAGAGGGCTGGCAATGGGACAACAACTGGCTCCAAGCCTTGCCATTGCATTCATGTCTAAGGTGGAAGCGCTAGTAATCGACCTCGGTCCGCTACTCTACTGTAGGTATGTAGACGACTGCTTTGTCCTTTGCTCAACACAAGAGGAAATGGACAAATCCTTCGAATTGTTAAACGCACAGTCAGAGTATATCAAGTTCACCCGAGAAAAGCCGAAAGAAAAATGGCTTCCATTTTTGAACGTACAAATTCACCTATCAGAAAATGGCTACATTACAAAGTGGTACCGAAAGCCAAGTAGTAAAAATATCTTGGTTCATCACCTCTCCTCTCACCCCTCTCACACGAAAAGGGCGCTTATAAGAAACATGTTTCGAACAGGAACCAACGTGTGCACGGGAAGATGGCAGAGAGAGGAGTCCCGGAACTTGGCACGGCAAGTAGCCATTTCTAATGGCTACGAAACTGTAGCTCTGGATAGGTGTAGAGGAAATCGTAGGCCTCCAAACGACAACTCTAGCGATAAAAGGGTCCCGTTTATCCTACCCTTTATCTTAAATGATATAAGTACAGCTATAAAACGCTGCTTAAGAAGGGCGGGCTTAGAGAATTCGGTGAGCGTAGTTGAAATACCACCGAGTAATCTTAAGCGCCAGCTAGTTCGTAACCGCCTATATGACCGTCTATGTGCAACTCAAAATTGCATAATCTGCCCCAGTGGTAGAGACGGTGATTGCATGAGCTCGCGAATAGTTTATCTGATTTCCTGTAAGACGTGCGGTGACGAATACATTGGCGAAACGGGTAGACCCCTCTGTGTCCGCATGAAAGAACACTTAGCCGGCAAAAATAGACCAAATACCCCGCTAGGCACGCATAGGACCCAGAGACATAACGGGAAGGACATCGAAGTATGTGTCACGATCCTCGCACGCGAATCAAGAACACAGGCGCGAAAAACTCTCGAGGCACTCTGGATTAATTCCAGAAATCCGAAAATGAACCGCAGGGAAGAATGCCTCATTATCACGCGTGATATAGGGCAGTATATAAAACTGCTTTTCTGATGTGAGGGGCACATTATACTTCCACGTGATTTCTGTGCGGTTGGTCTCTACGTGNGTGACTGCATGAGCTCGCGAATAGTTTATCTGATTTCCTGTAAGACGTGCGGTGACGAATACATTGGCGAAACGGGTAGACCCCTCTGTGTCCGCATGAAAGAACACTTAGCCGGCAAAAATAGACCAAATACCCCGCTAGGCACGCATAGGACCCAGAGACATAACGGGAAGGACATCGAAGTATGTGTCACGATCCTCGCACGCGAATCAAGAACACAGGCGCGAAAAACTCTCGAGGCACTCTGGATTAATTCCAGAAATCCGAAAATGAACCGCAGGGAAGAATGCCTCATTATCACGCGTGATATAGGGCAGTATATAAAACTGCTTTTCTGATGTGAGGGGCACATTATACTTCCACGTGATTTCTGTGCGGTTGGTCTCTACGTGACATACTTAGTGGAAACCTCATAGAAAGCGGTGAGTGTGCAAAGCTGTGTTCAAAGTGATTGAAATCTTGGTTTGGAGTTTCTTTGTTTGGTTATGGAGGCGTCTGGCCGAGTGAGTTGCTATCAACTTGACCTTTCCAGGCTCTGAAGAAGGCGAAATCCGCCGAAACGTCAGCTTAATCGTGAACAAAGAATAGTAACACCTCGCGTTTGCTCAACAAAAATACGAAGAATTACCTGTTTACTGAAGTAGAGATTTACCTTCATCTATAAAGGAAAACATTATTTCTGACTCAACAAGAATATAGAGGATCATTCTTGACCCTAAACCGATATCTTCCTTACATGTGTTAGGAAATATGTGATCTCTTATTTATCGACAAAGCCGACCAGTTACTTGTATATTGCCACAATGATGCTGAGATATTTGCAAAACTCTGGTCTAGAGGTATCTTTGGTGGGTGTCAAAGGCGCTATTACCCTTTCCGAGGGGTGACGTGTTCGCAACCACACGATGCGGGTCGTTCATTTCGCCTTTCCCTCAGTCGTGTTTTAAGCTTTTACAGCTTCAGCTTAATTGAGTTCAATACCAATTTGTGTTCCCCAGATCAATCCCACCGACGAGTGATTGGCGTTAGCACCTATAGATTAAAACAGCGCGAGAGAACGGCGAAAGGAAGGACCCGCATGGTGTGGTGGTGAACACGTCACCCCTAGGAAAGGGTAATAGCGCCTTTGATACCCACCAAAAACACCTCCAGACCAGAGTTTTGCAAATATCTCAGCACCATTGTGGTTATACTTCACATCGTACCCTTCTATGAAAAAGAAGCAGTAAATAAAAAGTGACTATATTTGTATAGTGTTCCAGTCTCAATACTATCATCTGTTGTATTAGCATATCAACAACTGCGGAAGGCTCTCCTTGACAGTTATACGACGATTTCGTAATACAGTTATATTCTTCCATCTCAGCCCTGTATGCGACGGTTCGTCCAGCTCCAAGGTAATTAGCCAACCCCTTTTAAGAAAAAGGTTATTGTGCTTTATGTGTACTTTGTGATCTCCATCGACGCATAGCTTCGAAAATGCCGTGTGCTTCATTCGTTCGCAAACCATATGCAGGATTCGTCACTGATTTGTTGATCCACAGCAATATTCTGTCCCACTGGTGCCCTATCACATTCTTCGTAGGTAGCAATTCCTGTCACTGTTTTTTCCTCCTATTACCTAAGTAGTATTTTGGGAGTCACTTTCCCTTAGCTGGTGCCCTTTCTTACCACTTATATCATCTCTACTTACAAATCAAACTATCGTTTATATTTTTTATTCCTGCCTATGTGATGCCAAGAATGCGATGCCGTTCCCAATAAGTGTTTAACTACCCAATTTTTAAGCTACGCAAGGCCGTAACACGGCGGCAAGCCACGTGTAGGACACAACTTTACAGATGGGCTCCACATTACGTCTTTGCACATCTACATGGTCTAGAAGAAGGTTTGGCAGATGACCGAAGAAATAGGAAAATTTTCCATCGTACGCAACTCCCAGAGCTTCCAAGCGATATTTACTTTCCGTCACCTCTTTAAAAAACTGGACTTGCCTTATCATTGCCTCTGATAAAGTTATGAAGCTGATGTTGTGTTTTTTTCCAATCGATTTCGGCTAATTCCGGTTTGGCAGTGATGTATGGCTCATACGAAGCGCCCTCTTCTGGTTGTTTGATCCGTGATGCTTTTCCAGCGGCGATAAGCTCAACGGCTTCGGCCTAAATGAATTCTTAGTTTCCCCTAAGTAGTTGGATTGCATGAGTTTTCAAAATTCACGTACAAATTACCATTATGCTCGAAAGCTCACAGTCATTAATTTAATAGCTTAGGAATAGGCAAAAAAAACTGCTAGTCTCGTTCTCAATATTCTAACACCAGCACAAACTCAAATCACAGGAAAAGCATGAAAAATCCATATAACACGTTTTCATCAAACGACGTCCCAAAATAGTATCTCAGTCTCTATGAATTGAATTTCCTTAAGTTTTATCTTCCTTCACTTAAATTACAAACAGAGACATGTTAAAATGAAATGATAGAGGATAGTAATAAGCCATGCATGCCGCGTTACAGCTCAGGTAATCATTTCTGCACTCAAAATGAATGATTCAGTTCCGAATGAATAAAAGCCATTTTGTCCTTCTTAATCGTTAAATTCCCAGTTGCCTCTCTCGAATCGCAACTTACCATGGCATCTACTCCGACTGGATAGAGAAATCTGCTATAGAGTGAGTTTAGTGTGTCATTTTCTTCGACTTTACAAGTCTTCTGAAGAAGAATCGGTCCGGTATCAAGTCCATCGTCGGCCCAGAAAACAGTTAATCCAGCCAACTCATCGCCTTCTATTAATGTCCAGTTTATTGCCGATGCTCCTCTATAAAAAGCCCGTTGCAAACATTCTCGTTTAAAGTTTGAAAAAACAGCACATTGCTCATGTTATACTAGCCGTCCATCGTATTCCCAAGAATTGCTGGATGATGCTAAAAATACCATTGTTACCCGAAATTTTTACTTTATATTTAGGACGCTACCGCAACTCTGAACGGTAGTGAAATTTTGCAGCAAAAAAAGTACACCCAAAATGGGCACAAGTTTTCCGATGTCGGACTATTGTAATTACGCAACTCTGATAGTACGCTTATCAATGATCTGTTACTATTCACTGATTATCACCAAAAATAGACGCGTTCGTTTAGGGTACGAGCAGGTTCGCTGTTATCATCCAATAGCAAATAAGACATGCGTCATAGTAATTACTCCATCACATCTCCAGCAAACGATTATTTGGAAGGAGCGATAAACTTATTGAAATTACTTGGAATGTCGTAAGGCATCGACAGCATAGGCACTTGAACATGAAATGCCTTCACGACTGTTCTGAATTAAAGAAAGCATTGCTTCTTTAGATTCTTGGTCTTTATGAATCTAGAAATACGGTGTCATTGGTCCCTTGAAATCCTGATCGTTACGATCTTCATGAATTACGGTAACATTCCGTGCTTAATTTGTGCTCTCGAGTGAAGAATCGTGCGGATTTCAACATTCAACAACACTTACCTGTGTTTTGGTAGAATAGATGGATGATAAATTATACTTCTATGAATCGGAGCCTCAATAATTTCAATTGGAATGAACTGCGTACAAAACGGTAGCACATTCAATTCAGCGCCATAAGAGAGATAAAGTTCCAACATTTCAGGCAGCACCTGAAGTTTTGAACCAATACTTTCACTTTCATTTAATTACTGATAACCTCCACTCACACTGTAAGAGAAAGTAATAGTGGTAACAAAATTAATTACTATAGTAATTAGTGATAACTGACGACAAATCGTGCAATTCTATTTCAATCCATTCTTGAAAAATCTTTTCCGTCTCACCTTTTTCTATTGGAAAATAGCAAAGATTTCTATGTTAGGGAATAACTTCAACAACATTTAACTCTTTACTTCTATCATCCCAAACCATCTCAACGAATTCCTCAATATACCTCAAATTTCCCATTCGCAACTTTTTTCCTCCATCTAGCCGGTTTCTCCACTGCAATACCGTCTTTGGCAGCTTCCACGGCTATAAATGATAGATGGCAAGGTAATATTTAATAAAAAGCCTAAAATTTTTCACTGCTTTCACTTATTATATGACCCGATAACACATATTACAAGGATCCCAGCACTTCTCTGTTTCTCCGCATCCATTATCCGCGAAAGCCATCGTCCACTTGAAGCTTTGGTCTGCTTCAGCAGTGGCCTTGAATGGCTGTCAAGTAAATTCTCCCTGCGATCACATGATAATCGTGCCAGGTCGTTCCAAGTTCCTTATCACGTAAAATCAACCGTTCTCGAACAAGTCTGGTATTTAACGTATTGTTTTCTGCCTTCTATAATTTTCATGACAGGTTACTAAGCGAAATACAACCACAACGTTGCTGAGATATTTGCAAAACGCTGGACCGCAGGTGTCTATGGTGGGGGAACGAACGCGCTATTGTCCTTTCCGGGGAGTAACGCGTTCACCACCACACCATGCGGGTCCT